GTGTGTATGTGTGTATGTGTGCATGTGTGCATGCATGCATGCATGCATGCATGCATGCATGCATGCATGCATGCATGCATCTATCTATCTATCTATCTATCTATCCAGCTATCTATCTAGCTATCTATCTATCTATCTATGTGTTTATGTATGTATGTATGTATGTATGTATGTAGGTAGGTAGGTAGGTAGGTGTATGTATGTATGCATGTATGTATGTATGTATGTATGTATGTGTATGCAAGCTAACCAAACGGCACCACACACAAGCACGCGATAACTCTTTTATCCGAGCAGTGTGTTGGTGCCAGGGACTCATCTTCCCCTGTCAGATGTCAAAGGCTGGGTGGGCCCCATGGGCCACCCAACTCACAATCTCAAAAACTGAAGAACGGGTGTGCAGACTGATAGCGCCCGCCCCTGAGCCGGGGCCCGGGGCACCCAGGCCACAGGGGGGTCTGCCACCAGGGGAAGTGAGTCACCCACCGGCTCCGGTCACGGGAGCATGGGTGGGCCCACGCTAAGATCAAATGCATCTCCATTCAGGAGACGCGGGAGAAAAACGAACTCCTCGCAGAGTTCCTGTTTGGGGACCCTGTGCAAAGGGTCGAACCCAGAGAAATCTGGGTGCGTCAGCTCATCAGCCCATTGATTGAATTCTCGGGGCACGTGGTTGGCCGCCAGCGAGCAGCCATGGGTGTGGAGCAGGAAGACCAGCTCCATCAGGATCGCCGCCGTGTAGGGCTTCTTGGATCCAAGGTTGAGCATCGCCATGACGTTGCCCTGATTGTCACTGCCCACCGGGAGTCGGACCCGGGAGGACAGAGGGCCTTGGTGCGTGAGGATCATGTTACAGAGGAAGAGCGTGCCCAGCATTTCCAGAGCCGCAATCCTCCGCTTGGGATCCCCATTCTTGAATGCCCAAGGGTACTCCTCCATGTGGATCTGCTCGTGGAACCAGTACACCTCCTTCTTTTCCGGCTCCACTTTGTTGGAGCACCAACCTCCCACAAATGCCAGTCCTTCGTCCGAGGCGCTAGCATCGCTGCAACCCCACCAAGAGGACTTCGGCAAGTAAGGGGAGTACTGGACGAAGGGCGTGTTGAAGAGGAACCGCAGCATGAACGCCAGCATCCTGACCACCTTGGGGGGTTTCCCCACCGTGGTGGTGGCCATCTTCCAGGCCCAAAGTGGCTGGAGCATCGACTTCGCCAGCGGACATGCAGCAGTCGCCCATTGGATGCGACCCAGGGCCTTCTCGATGTCCTTTGAGTGCATCGCCTGCCCTTCCACCATGGTCTGCAAAACCTCCATAACCAGGATGTGTTTGTTGGCGGCCATGAGAACCTGCGGGATGTTCGGGTGGACCACGAAACCCAGCCACGTGTTAACCTCCGCCAAATGCGTCTTCTTCCAGCTAAGCGGGGTGCCCAAGGCCAGGAGTGTTGCCAGCAGCGCCACCGCCAAGTTTACTGCCCCCTCGCTTCGAAGCAGCCACATGAAGTCATCGACAAAGACGAAGTTCCAATCCACTTGAGGGAAAAGTGTGTAGAGGACCCTGAGTAGAAGGGCTGCCAGGCGTCCCCAGTAGGATTGGGCACTGGCCATGCCATATGTGCCTACCTTGTTCACCCACCATTCTTCCCCCAGTGAGGCCACCTGGAACCGCCAGTCCTTCCTGAGGACCTTCACTCTCCGGTGGGCCTTGGTGACGTCCGCCTTCAGCAGCACCCACCTGGTGCCCGGCTCCGGCCATAGCCAGCCCCTAGGTGGAGGTTTGACGACCTCCCTCTCGGGGCCAGGGGCACCCTGAGAGGGGGGTCCCTCCACAGCTGCCGCATGTAGCCAATGAAGAGCTTGTACCCCATCCAGCACAGTCGGAGCCGTCGTCCTTTCCACCGTCTGGTTCCTGATGGTGTCATTGGCCCCGCCCACCGAGCCATCGTAGATGGTGCGGATCTTGTCCCCCTCGTCGATGCCCGCTAGGGGACCGGGACAAAGGTCCTCAATTTCGCAGCCACAGCGCAATGCTGCCTCCACCTTAGTGAAGGGGCCCTCTACCATGCCCATGGGGACCTCCTCCAGGAATGTGCCCCGGATGAGCTCGCTGAAGTGATCCGCCGAGGGGTAGTTACCGTTGCTCGTTGATTAATAAAGTTCCTGGAACTCCGGCTCCTCCCCTTTCAGCTCCTTCTTGAGTGGCCAGCTGCCCGGCGAGGTCAGGGGTGGGTCCGTGACCCTCAGTGGGACCCCTTGCTCCAGATCCTGGGGAAACTGGTGTTCAGCGCCACGCTGTGCAAGATGTCCAGGAAGAAGGGTTGGCCGTCAGCTGGTCGGCCTGCCCCCGGCGCCAGAATCTCCCTGATATCCTCCAGCAGGTCCTCCGGGAAGGGATGTGACCCGTCCCCCAACGAGAGCGACTCCTGGAGCTTGTCCCCCCATGGCGAAGTGAGGACACAGATCTTGGCCCCCATCGCTGCTGCTTTGGACAGTGGCCGAGTCCATGGGGCCAGCCGTCCCAACGAGGGCTTTCCCCCTCCGTCCCTTAGGGGGCGCTGTTTGAAGGCCATCTGGAGGTACATGACCTTGTCGGAGAGATTTGGGTCG